GCGTCGTTCTGACGTCACCATAACCCCACCAAAAGAAGCAGACGAACTTGCGCTGCGCATAATGAGACGCCAGGGTTTCGCAACAGCGGCTGTATAAAGGAATATTTTCTTTTAACTTTACATTTTTTTTTTTTTTTTTTGGTTTTGAAAGCTATATTAACGCGGTTTGTGCAGATCAGTCGGGAGAAGTCGGCTTATTAGCTAAAACACGTTAATTATCTTTTTAATTATTGAAAAGAAACCAGTGGTTTCATTTATAGAAACCGTCGAAAAGCACTAAATCGGTATATTTTCGATGGATTTGGAGCACGCGGGAAGCACGGTGGGGCCGCTAAAGTTGCCACACGTGTAACAGGGGCGAGGCTACCGGTGCGAGAACGAGCCAAACGCGGTTTTAGCCTCGTGCCTTCTGCAGGAGTGGTAACTTTAGAGCACTCTTATACTGCGCTTCCCACGCGCTCAAAGTCTTTCTCAGAATGACCGGTTTAGCGGTTTTCGACGACGCTCGGCAAAGTTCTAACTGGAACCATACGTTTACTTGCACTAGTTACAAAGTTCACCTAGCATTTTAACGAATCATTCCACCGATCGTGACGATTCGTACCCTATAGATTACCTCCCCCGGCAACTCACCCGCACCTACCGCATTGATGTGCATATCTTTCACGGCTGTTATTTATTTATTTATTTTTTTTTAACGCAGGAATGTTTTATCGGCTGATTTTCTCGGAGTTTAATGACACCGTCAAAATTATTTCGAGCACACGGCCGAAGAGGGGTGCCGTAAAATATGGGCGGATCCGGCGAGTTCCGGAACTACGCGATAGATGGCGCCGCCGCTGCCTTCTCCCCGTCGTACGTGCTAACAGATCAAGAGTGACAGCGAGCGTATGCCGTCGAAGCGAGAGGCCGATGCTCATCATTCCGACGCCTTCGAAAAAACTGCATCGTACTCTTATCAACCCGAGAGCGAAACATTCCAATCCCCCGGAGACACGCCAAAGTATGAAATTTACGACCCGCTAATTATAGCTGGAAGGAACGTTCCACTGCGCGTACGCCGTGTGAATTCAATCGACGCGCAGCGTTTGCGGTGTCGATATCTTACGATCGCGTTTTCACCTCCAACACCGTAGTAAACAAAAAAAAAAAAAAAAAAAAAAAAACAAAAAAAAAAAAAACGCTTAGCTGCTTGCGGAGCAATACTAATTTCCACCTTAAGGTGAATATTTAAGCTGTATTTAGGTAAATTTTACGAGATATACGTTATCCTATCAAGACGCACACGTTTCAAATGACAAAAACATCGCTGCTTCTTCCGACAACCAAATCTTGTACTTCACAAAGCATATAAACAATGCGGAAAACTTTTCTTCTTTATTTTTTTTATTTTTTAGGTGAAAGCGGTATGATGTTTTGCGTTTTCCGGAGTTTATTTTTCGCCTGAGATTCGAAGTTTTTCGGCGCTTTCGTTCACCGCCCACAATAATTCGCAGCTGTTCGGGTGTTTAGGAGGACGGAGAAAGGCCAATAGGCATCTACGAGCGAGATCTGTACGAGACAAAGTTTCGAAATTAAACGGATAGAAAGGTCAGGCGTATTTAACTATCCTAAAAGTCAAGCCTCACTTTCTTTTTTTCTTTTTTTTTAAGGGATTTTTTTTTTATCTTAAAAAAATAAAATAAGACAAACGTTTTTTTTTTTTTTTTTTTTTTTCAGAATTTGAGAAAACACGAACACATGTAAGTCAGTAGTACCCTGCCTGTGCGTTTCTTCATCCTGGTTGTCAGTCTCTTTTGCGCTGAATTCCCACCAAACAGTATGAACACCGCGGTCAGTTTCTTTTTACAAATGGCAGTCCCCAGATTTCGAGTTTTTCGGATAACTCCGTATCCAGAATCTTTCGACCGGCGATTCTTTTTTTTTTTTGGAATTTCGGGGATGTAGCCGAAAACGCTGAACCCTAGTTATATATAAGGAAAATAAATAAAAAAAAAAGGATTAATGCACGAGGGCATTCTTCAATTCGAGTCCACTCCTTTGGCACATCGTCAGGAAGCTCCAGGCTCAGCTTTACCGCCATTCCGCAGAAACGCGTCTGACCTGTCAAGCCGGGGTCACATGCTGCTCATATAATCGTACACAAAAGACACCGCGCTATCCGTGGTTTGAATGCCGCGTGCCCAGTTTCCTTCTTGAACTCGCTGCCACGCGGCATTCGAAGCAGGGATCTCGCTGCGACTCGCGTTCGACTCTGGTTGCTGGCTGCCTTTTGTATGATGTAGAAGCAGTGAGGATCCGGGTTTTGAACTATGGACGCTTTTGAACTATGGACGCCATCGCCGACCTTCAGTTTTTGTTTCATCTTATTTTGACCACTCCGCTCCATCATTACCACAGCAGGAGAAGTTATTGCCATTTTAGATCCGAATGTGCTCTTCTACAAAACATTGGCCTTTGTGGAGACAAGAGAGGGTCAGCAATGGCGGCTGTAATCTGGCACGCGCGCAAAGCGTCTATACAAGTTTCCCTATAAGGTGCACGTGCGCCCAAAGAACGGTCAACGTAAACGGAAAGTCCGTTCCTTGACTGTTCCTAGACCGTTCGGCGACACTTCCTCAACCGTTCCTCACAAAAAAAAAGATCCAGTGCGTTTATTTATTATTATTATTATTATTATTATTATTATTATTATTATTATTAAGCACCTGGGAGAGTCGATACACCCTTTTCAAAACCTCCTCAGGCAACATTGGCGGTCGCCATTTATTGGGTACGAAGTGCGTGATTGGAACCCGAGCCCTGGCCGAACGATGACGCTGTGCTCCTGTCCAATGCGTGCGCAGAGTGACCAAGCAATGGATGCTAATAGATAATAGATGGCGTGCACTTTTAAAGAGGGTCTATGGCTGAAATCTACGGTGGGACTCGGCGAATGACAAATCTAAAAATATGTGACCTAAAAGAAAACAAACAGTCTGCGTTGGCATTGAGCATGAACTGAGCTTTTTAAAACTTATATGTTTCCTCGTCCGATGGCGCCCTCTGGTGTCTGCGATGGTTCCAAAGTAATCGATCTTTGATACCGATTTTAACGGAGAAATCGGACGTGCATGAATGCTATGTTTGGTTTGTTAGGATGCTCCGAGCCCATGAGTTATGAGCACAAACAGACTATCGCAGAAAGTGGTTTAGTGCCCTCCTCAGCCACACGTAGCTGCGGTTAAGGGCCCGTGGTGTAACTTATACCCCTGTCACGGGCATCCATAACTACGGTTACTCTAAACAGAAGTTTTGCGCAGTTACACGGCTGATCAAACTGCGGTTAGCACGAAACCATGGTTAGCGCAAACGGAGATCCACGATCTCAGTTTGGGCTCGCTAACTGGGCTAAAGATGGCGACAACCGCTGCATTGCTGGCTATATCCAAGCACTATTTCGGAATGGCAGAGGACGCACCTAGAAAGAACCGTGGAGACAAACCAAATCAAATTTATTTACAAAAACTCTGGTGGGAAATCGCATACAAAAAACTGTTAGAAACAGTTGGACTAGGTATGGGATCCCTTTACATTGGCAGCAGCAACAAATCAAAAACACATTAAAGTTATACAATGCTAAAAGAGTACAAACGAAAGGCTCTCTTACTTATTTTGTTTATATTTGTTGTTTGTGATATATACTTGTTTAACATATAATGTAATGTCGCGGTAAGAAAGATGTCTCAAAGGCAGATATTAAGCAAAAGCAATTGCGCCATGTCGCGGGACGCGGCGAAGCCCGCACTCCTCGGGCGCTGCCATTGATTCTGGTCAATGGCAATGCGGCTTCTCTCATGTCGCCCATGTTTGTATTTATTTGAGGGGACTTCATAAACGTTTGCTACGTACCACAAAGAAAATTATAGGTCTAAAGTTACTCGTTTTAAACAGTAATAATGAATATAACAAACGTGTCCTTGATCGGAACACGAGACATTGCAGTTGGTTTCGCTTTGGCTTCAACCCTTCAACTGCAAGCAAATTGGCCGTGTAACACCATCTCAGTTCAGTTTGGTCGAACCACGGTTAGCGGTCGCTAACTGCCGTCTGCCTAACCACAATTAAAATGACCCTAGGGTATTACTGTTTCATCAAGCCCTCGTCTGGCACATCGCGGAGCATCCCCGCCCCTTCAAGCTAACACCCGCTAAAGCTGCAGAAATAATGCAACACGTTCAGAGGCAGTCCCCACAGCCGCTCTCTCTCTCTCTCTTTCAATCCTCTTGCGCATGGCTCGGCCAGGTGCTCCGTTCAATCAGAGGATAAAGAGACCCGCCCCGGTCTCGCAACACGTGACAGCAGCGTATGCATTCACCTGGCCCCTCTTTCCCTTCCAAAAGAGCACCGGTTATCGGTACTTCCAAGCAACTATCCACATCTTTCGTCCACGTGGTCGTCCTTGTTTGCTTGTTTCTTTTTTCTTATCAGCTCCCCTTTTAATGGAAATGCGGTGCCGGGTGCCAGCCGGTGAGCGGCGAAATTCCGTCACTAACCGCAATGAATGGACGGACGCACGCACGCGGACGAACCCTTCAAGTCGGGCGGTGGCTAGCGCCACCTATTGGCACCGAAACCTTTTCGTTGGCGCCCTCTTGGGACGTGGTCAGACCTGCTAATACTTCGTACAAAAGGCAGTCTACAGACACTTGTCTGTACACCTTTGTGACACAACTCCAGAAATGGAGACGTCACCCGGCGGCAAAGACGCGAGGGAGAGAGAAAACTGGTGCGGCCTAGCGGCCGAAATGTGAAGCGCAGGAAAGGGGACGAAATGCACGTCGTTGTAGTTGGGAACATTGACGCGTAACACGAACATCCCGGTTATATCCCACACCTCCCGGTGGTAGTTACGGAATTGCAGAGCGTAAGCAAATTGGCGAAGGATGATGATGAAATACGTTTATTTTCTTTCATAATTAAGGCTCAGGCAATTGCTCTACGGCATGGCCTAAAAAAATTCAGAAAGTTTTACTGAGGCCTGTCTTCTCCAGGTAGGAAATGACGGATTTGAGCAGTTGAAGTCTTCTTCCGGAATTCCCTGCTGGTTTTATCCATTCATTAAGGTTTTCGGGCTTATCTTCGGGATCTATTGTTGCATGTGCATCCTCCCTTTCTCTTCTGAAGTGTTTGCAGTCCCACAGGAGATGATCGATGTTTGGTGGGATCTTTTCTCTACAAAAGTTACATTCTGGTGGTTTTGGTATGAATTTCGGGTCCTGTCTCAACTTTTCTTGTGTTTCCCATTTCTTGAGGAGGTGCGGGGTTATAGCACTTCCTGTCCTTACCCTTCTCAAAAGAACTGTTTGGTATCTTTTGAGCCCAGAAGGGATAGGATCCTGTTCTTCGGGATGCCTGTTTCGTAGTTGTTGCTGTAGTTGTTTTTTTGCCTTATTTATGGTAGCTATAGGATCGTATTCTTTACTCAAACTTTTTAATACAGTAGAGTACGGGTGATCTCGTTGAGATTGGCCTGGTCTGTCGGAAAGGAGGGAACGACTATACTCTTTCGCGACTTTGTTGGCAATCTCATTTCCCTTAATCCCCGTGTGTCCCGGGATCCAACGCAGGAGTATCGTTGCATTCTTCTTCTTCAGTGTTGTTATTGCCGCCTTTAGGATTTTTCGTATTGTCGGGCTTACCGCATGGTGTATCTTACATGCTCTAATAACCTCTTGTGAATCGGTAAAAATTGTTATTCTTTTCTTTTCAATTGTACTGCTGCTTGCGTGTTCTACTGCAGCCAAGACTGCTTGCGCTTCGGCTTCTTCCGGGGTGTCTGCGACTGTTGGGTATGCCCATGTTCCTATGTTTAGGAGGTGAAAGGCTATCGTTGCGTTATTGTTGCTGACCGCCGCGTCCGTATAGTATATCGCTAACTCGGGGTCATTGCGGATGAGCTCAATTTCTTCGTTGTGTTTTTTGGCATATCTTCTTCTTCTTTCCTGGTGATCAAGGCCCATGCTCTTGGGAATGGGAGTGCCTGGAACTACCATTATCCGTTCCCATGGTGGCATCTGTTCCGGAAATTCATCCAGTTTGCTCGTGTCTTGATTTAGCAGATTCATGATGCGTCGCCCTTCTTTCGTATTGAGCATCTTAATTTTGTGCATTTCTTCCTGTATCGCTCGTAATTCCTCAAAACTCGGGAAAGGGACGCATTTGTGTAGTTCTTCTATCTTGACGTTTCGCGGCAATCCTGCAATGCACCGTCTCGCATCGTTTAGTAAACTTTCCAGTTTCTCCATGTTCTTTTTATCGATCTTGTAAAATCTTAGCCCATACATAATTTTGGAGATGAGCACTGTTTGAGTCAGTGTTCGAGCCACTTTTTCTCCCGCTCCTCTGAGTCTGTTTGCGATTCTTCTGATTAGCGATGTTCCTTGTTTCCACGTTTTGGTCATTCTTTGTATCCATTTAGTTGGGTCGTTTCCTAACATTGGCTGTTATTCCCAGTATTTGGTGATCCTCTGTCTTTTCGATAGTAGTCCCGTTAAGTTTTAGTTTCACGTTGGCAGGTGCCTTATAGCCGAAAATCATGTATCGGGTCTTTTCTGGCGATGGATTAAGTCCAATCGTTTTGAGATATGTATCGATCGTGTTTAATCCCTCTTGCAGGATTTCTTGCTGGCGTTTCGAGTGGCCTCTGTTTGTCCATATTGTAATGTCGTCCGCATATACCGTACAGTGGAGTCCTTCTATTTTGTCAAGCTCCCACAGCAATGGAGCCATTGCGAGGTTGAACAAGGTCGGTGATATTACCGATCCTTGGGGTACGCCGATGTTGTTGGACTTTACTGAGCTGAGGTGCTGACCTACTTTAATGGCATACGTTCTATGTTTCAAGAACGCTTTAACAAAATTTAGTGGCTTACCCAGTATTCCTTGGCTTTTGAGGCTATCGAATATGGCTTGGTGTGGCAGCGAATCATAGGCCTTTTTGATGTCTACGGCCACGAGGATTCGTACTTGATAGTGCTTCGTCGGATATTTTAAAACTCCTGATTGAATTAATAGAAGGCTATCATGTGTCCCGAGATGTTTTCTAAAACCGGTTTGTGCCGGATGAAATATTTCTTTCTCTTCTGTTATCCAGTCGATGCGGCCAAGAACCATTCTCTCCATTAGTTTACATAGCACCGATGTGAGTGATATGGGTCTTGTGTTTTGTGGTGACGTTGGATTCTTTCCTGGTTTGGGAATTGGTGTCACCCACGATAACTTCCAGTTATCTGGTATCGTTCCTTGGTTCCATATTTCGTTTATCCATCCGAGTAATTTCTGTTTGACTTCTGTAGGTAAATTCCGGATCATGCTTCCGCTGATTTGATCAGGTCCGGGTGTCCTTTTTGTTTTTCCTTTCTCTATCGCCGCCTCCAATTCCCAAGGTGTGAAATCTACATTACTCGGATCGTTCACGTCGACATCTTCGATCTCGTATATTTGTTGATCTGGTGTCTCTTCCGCTTGGGGGAAGAATATCGGCCCTGTTTCTTCGGCAATCTCTTCTATTGTTAGATCTTGACCGAGGGCCATGTTTGGTACTGCTTGTTTTGTTTTGGTCCTTCCGAACATGGCATTAAAAATTGCCCATAACTTTGCAAGCGATGTATGTTCGTCAAACGATTCGCATAGTGAAAACCAATTGTCTTGACTTAGTTTCCGCGAGTATTCTTTGGCCTCAGTCGTTAACTCGTTGACTAATTTGAGCGTATTGGGGTTTTTAGTTTGTCTGTACTCATCGAGCGTTTTGGATCGTTGGTGCCACAAAGACAGTAGTCTGGTGTCTGGGATTGGTGCGTCGAAGTCGACTTGCCGCTTCTCGGTGGCCTCGTCTGTGGCCCTTAGCATGAGTTTGGTGAACTCTTCAATGGATTCGTCGTGTAAATCCTCAGTTATTTTTACTCTGAATCTATCCCATATGACCGTCCTTGTTGTTCTTTTCCTCTTGTGCTTTGCGACGTTTTCGACCTGAATTTCTATGGGGTGATGGTCACTTCCCCATGTGTCTTTGATCAGTTCCCAGTTCGCTTTGATTTTCTGGGTAGTAAAAGTCAGGTCTGGTGTGGTATCTTCGTGTTTCTGAATTGTGGCATATCTGGTGTTTACTGATAAGTCATTGATTAAGATTAGATTTGCCCTTTCGTATGCCTCTGCCAGTTTCTGTCCCCTGACGGAGGTTGTTCTGTAGTTCCATTCCGTGTTTGGAGCGTTAAAGTCTCCACCGATTACCATCTCGTCGTTGGGAAAGGACCGCCTAATTTCTTGCATCCACGAATAGTCATCGTTCTCGTGTTCAAGGGTGCCTGGTCTGGCGTACGTGGACACAAGACAGATTCTTTTGTCGCTTATCTCCGTTCGGACCGCTACGACTTCTTGGGAGGCATTGCACCATTTGCTGGTGTCTATTTGTGTGAAAGGGAGCTCTTTGTCGAGGTATATCCCGGCTTGTGCTTGTACTACTGTTTTGCCCTTTTGTTTGTGGTGAATAGACGGTGTGAAGAATTTGTTGTATCCCCTTAAAGAGATGGTGTCACATTTCGTTTCTTGTACTAGTAGGGCATCTCGTGGGTTCTCCGCTAATCGTAAGTTGAGTTCTTCCCGCTTCTGTTTCAGCCCTCTACAGTTCCACTGTAGAATTGTTAAAGGGCCACTCTTCGTTTTCTTCTTATTTGGTGAGACCATGTTGGGTCAGAATATATTCGTACGTTTCCATCCTCTTGTTAATGGCATCCGTATGAGCTTGCATTTGGGCTTGAATTTGGATTTGCAGTGTTTGCATAAACTTCATTATTTTTTCTTCCGTCGTAGGGGTCTGTGATGTCGCGGTGTAATCGTCTGTGCTTGATTCGTTGTTGTTCGTTTTTGTTGATGTGCTGGGTGTCGACCTCAGTTGCTGCTGCTGAATTTTGTATTGCGATTGTGTTGATGGTGGTGGTGAAAATGACGTGGAAGACGAGCATCTGTCGATCCTGTCGATCTCCTCCTGCACCATAGCAATTTCTTTACGTCTTTCCATCGCTGCTCTGGATAGATTGTTCTCTTCTTCTTTGAGTTTCTTCCTGAGTTTCTCGTATTCCTTTCTCTTGTTGATTAGCTGTAGCGTCGATTCCCTATGATCCTTCATTATTTGTGCGAAGGTAGGCTGTGCGTTCGTCGTGGTCTTCTGTGGTGTTTTGGGCTTGGGTGCTGGTGAGGTGCTCTTGTCTCGTGACAGCTTAGGATAGTTGTTGCTTTGTGATCGCGCCCGAAGCAGTTCAAAGCTGTTGATTCCTTCAAATTTGCTTCTCAAACGTCCTCTTTGTTGGTGGTTGAGAAGGGGTGCCTTGGCCCTTTGTTGGAGTTTGAGGTCGGCCTGTGTCTTTGCTGGGCACAGCTGGTGTAGTGCGACATGGTCGTTGCCTTTGCAGTTGTAGCAAAATAGTTTCTGGCACTTGTGACCTTCCTGACATAAATCCCCACAGTCCTTGCAGCGGGACTCATTTGTGCATATGCCGGCTTTGTGGCCTAGGCTGTGACAGTTGAAGCACACGATTGCAGTAGGCCGGTAGGCGTAGACGCTGATGAGTTTTCCGTAATATCTTATTTTTTTGGGAATTCCGTCGCCCTTGAATGTCAACAAATATGTTCCTTTTTTTCCGAGCGGTCTCGCCTGGAGTATCTCGTGGTAATCTGTGTCTGAGTTCTCGAGAAATTCCTCGACGCTTTCTAAGGGGTCGATGCCATGTACAACGCCACGTGGAAGCGAGCCAGTCGTTGCTTGGTACGTGTTTACCTCCACCGTGCCATCTGTTGTCTCGATTTCCCTGATTCTGAGGATGTTCTCCAAGTGCTTTCGTTCGTATACCGTTACTGTAATTGAATTGGTTTTTGCGTTCGTCGTGAAAATCAGCCTATCTACGAGTACCCCGCTTCCTGCGGCTCTCAACAATTGTTGGTAGATTATTTTCGGACGAATCTGCGTGATGTCCTTTGATCCCTTCGGTTTGATTGATATGATGAATTTCTCTAGGCCGAATCGTTGGAGGTGCGTCCCTCTGGGTGGTTTGGGATTCCTTCCTCGTTGTACTTTGTTCCAGGGATCTTCATTGCGAGTCGAGTCGTCAATATTTTCGCTTACTCGGTTTTCCGCATCTTCATCCATGTCATCGAGGCTGTCCTCAGACTCGGCGGGTCGGCTTCGCTTCGGCGGCCGTGAGGTAATTTTAACTCGTGGAATTTCTTGAGTGTTATCTTGTGAAAAAATTTTTTCATGGTTGATAGCCGGTTCATCTGGCGCGGACGACATGTGGGAGTTAGTGCTCTACAGGGTGCCGGAATACGTCTTTTCGCAGCACCGACGCTTGAGGCTGGGCCCAGACATGAGCAGCCGTTGGGCCTAATGTGGCGCCGAAAACGAAAAGGCTCGTAAATTTGTGAAAAATCACTCACTGTCCCTGAAATTGGGTGTGCGGATTTGTACAGTTGTCCTGCAGATGTTGTGATACTTCTTTCGTCGAGGTCCTGCCAAAAACTGGGAAATTCATGTCTTCGGCGGACCGCCGTGAGATACATTCCTCCCCATAGCTCTTCGTCGTCGTCTCTCCTTGGCGAAGGAAAGAAATTATACTTTCGGTTCTTAATTTCTAAGATAGGTGGCGCAAGCTACCGTCCGATATAAAGGATGCAGCCGTTAGCATCCATCTATCCTAAGGACTCTACGTCAAGGCGCGGTGGTGGCGCGTCGGGCGCACTTCCGGTCTGGGGCCGTGGGCGGAAGTCACCATGCGGGAGGTGCATTCCTGTGTTGTCTAGGAAGAAACCAGACAGAAACCTGCTTTCTCGTCAAAACGCCGCGACGGGGCTGTACCAAAAAAGTCGGAAAAAGTTTGACAGGTCAGTTTTCATGTGTTTTCTGCCTACTCGGTTCGTCCGAGAGCGTAGGTGCCGTGAAAAAGGAATACCAGACGTCATCGGACCACGATTGCTTGGGCGGGAAGCACTCTGGATTGAAATAATGGATACTTGTGGTCGTCAGATTTATTTGTTTTGTTCCAACGTAAACGCGGGAAAACCATCAAGCTGCACGCACCACCTGCGGACTACGTTCAGCGTCATCAAGTTCAAACGGCTGCCTCATCGTTCGAGCCGTCGTCTGCTTTTTCAAACGTTTCTGCTTGTTGTCGTCTGCTCGTTAAAACGACAGCGGCCCGTAGACCAAACATTGGTCTGGTTACTGGGATAAGAACAAGCCTCAAAATACTTTTAGGTTTGAAGGTTGGTTGGAGTAAGTAGGCTCGGTGTAAACAGTATATACAAGGAGGTGCTGATCGTTGTTACCAGTGGCCATCACCGACTTGTTATGCCCGATTCACTCGGTCCGAGTCGGCTTGCGATTTTCAATATCGACGTCGACCATCTCAGC